CCAATCCCCACCTTGCTTTCTCCCACCCTCCTGTAATCTTTCCTCCTTAATTTCAAATGCAGAAAAGAAACTGTGAAGCTTTGTCCAAAGCATTTGAGATTTTGCTTCCCTGCATATGTCATCAGTTTGGCTCAAATAAGCTCTTATAAAAATTATCTGCAGGTTTGGACATTTCTTCCATTGACAAAGCCACACTCTTGGGGTTATACAGTTCAAGAGCCAGCAGCTGCAACAGAAATGCCTTGTAGGGGGTCATGCAAACTGTTAGTACCACAAGTAGCTTATCTAAGGAGCTCTGCGGGAAGGGAAGAATGAGTTCTGGGGGAGAGGGAAAGAGGTGAGGCTGGCCTGTCAGGAGCTGGTTAAAGGAAGGTGAGGAGAGAGGAAGACCAGGGTTTAGCACACTGCTTTGTCCTAAGCTCCATTTGTCATTCCTACACCTTGGAGGAAGGGCATTGAAGAATTCCTTCACAATTTTCTGGACCAGACCTGGAGTCATAAGGTATCAAAGTTTCGGAGGAATATATGTAACTTTAGTATGTAGACTTATCACGAGTTACTTTTAGGATGGATACCTGTGGAGTGGAAGGAAACAACTGCGTAGAGGAAGAAGTTGGCATTTATCCTATAGAAATATATGTGTGTGGGTGGCCGGATGGCTCAGTTGGTAAGAGTGCGAGATCTGAGCAGCAGGACTACCAGTTCGGATCCCACATGGGCCAGTGAGCTGCACCCTCTATAGATAAGATTGTGAACAACAGCTCGACCTGGAGCTGGGCTGCCGTGAGTCGCCGTGAGGGGCCCGTGAGGGGCCGGCCAACTGACAGGGACCAATCTGCCTCAGCCGGGTAGAGCGCAATGATCATAATACCAACATGGGCCAGTTGGTATTATAACATGAAGCGGCGTCCTCCACTACTAGACTGAGAACAACGGCTCGAAGGTGGGGGGGTGGAAGGGGGAAGGGGGAGGAAAGAAATGTGCGTGGATGTGTAATATAAACACATTATAACATTATTGCTGTGGGGTGTGGGTGTGGGGGAGGTGGGAGGTAGAAGGTGTCCATAACAAAATGTATCATTTAAACTCTTTTTAAGTGTATGGTTTGGTGGCATTATGCGCATTCCCATTGTTGTGTAACCATCACTATTTTTTGTTTTTTGTAGAGCAATATTTTGACATGGCTACAAAGTGCAGGATGGTGATGGTACAGCTTGGGGTAGCATGGCCCTTACCCCCACTTGCTGCCCCTGAGGGCAAAGGTCCCCATCTCGAGATATGGGGCAGCTTCTGGCTTTTCTCTGTTCCCTGGCCCCATCTCCTCATAGCAGGGTCTTGACTAGCCTCAAGGGGCCACCTGACCCGCCAGGACCTGGGACATGGCGCTGATGGACCCCACGCTGCTGGGAAGGACAATGACCCCATCACTCTGTGCGTCACCCTGGTGGCTGACCCTGGCTTGGGCACAGGGCTGCTGTGCCACCCAGTTCGTGCCCAGAAGTTCTACCAGGTCAGATACACCAAGGCAGGGAGGGGAGGAGCAAAGCAGCTTCTGCCAGAGAACTGAGCTAAACTCCAGGTACGGGGGCTCAGGACTTGGTCTGCTGCTTGGGGAGCTGTCTGCTGGCCAGTCCCTGCCAGCTGGTCTCCTGCTTGTCAGGTCCTGCTGCCACCCAGAGCCCCACTGGATAAGCCCTTTCACACCTGTCCAGAGACCTGATGAGAGAGTAAAGGGCGGGACCGCACGAATCTGGACTTCTTTGCCAGAAAAACAACTCGGTCCACATTCCGCCCAAGCAATTAGCTCTATTGTAGGAAGGACAACCTGTTGTGAGGTTTGGTTGCAGGGTTTAAGCTGTGTGCTCTCAGGGTTATGGTTGGGGTGGGGAGAAGTGATAGCTCTAGGCAGGGGAGAGTTAAGAGGGGCAGGTAAGGAGCCCAGGGCCCATCAAAAGTGAGGCTGTCTGCTCTCTGGACTGGTGCAGGGAAAGCTGGCGCCAGCCCTCTGTGGCTGGGGCCAAAAAGAAGCTAGAGGTTGGCAGCTGAACCCCACCCAAGAGCTGGGTGAGGGCAAGGTGTGGTCACTGGACAAGCCTGGGAGTGAAGTTAATTGGCCTTGACAGGTGCCATCTCACCTGCCTTGTGCTTTTCTTGCTAACCTTTGCACAGGCCAGGATTTCTCCTTCCTCCTGCCTGTTTCAGCCCTTCCCATCCCACCCAAGCTCAAACTCCCCAGGAAGTCTGAGCGGAGCCTGCCAGCCTGGCCCTCCTCTGAGTTCACCCCCACAGCAGTCTCTTCTCTGGATTTTTTGGGACCTAACCTGTACTGCCTTGGGTTTGCTTTCAAGCCTATGCAAGGTACCTGGAATAATGGGACCTTTGTTTAAAACACCAAAACAAGACTGAATTCATCAGGTTTGATCTGCTCAAACGAGTGTGGCCTCTCTGTGGCCCCCTTGCAAGCTTATACCCAATTCATTGATTCATTAATGGTTTTATTCTTCAGAACACTGTAGAGGCTCTTGGGTAATACTGAACTCAGGACATACGTGCAGGCCCTAACGTTACTTGGCCCTAACGTTACTTCCTGTCAGTGAAACTGAAGGGAGAATTTGCACCTAAGAGAGGAAGTAGGTCAGTTACCTGGAGAAGTGAGTCACTTAAGACAGAGTCCTATAGGTGGAGACATTTGGGGAAGTTCCAGCCAACGGAGGGTTCTAGGCCTTAGCCCCATGTTGGTGAAGGTGGACCCCAGGAACGTGCTTTCGAACTAATATTCCAGGTGAACCTGATGTAGGTGGTGGCAATCAGCCCCGAGAAACACGGGGCCCTTTCTGAGAGGTATGGCTGGCAGGTGATGGGTATAGCTGAAAGAAGGGGTGCTGCCCCTCGTACCTGCGGGTGGGAGTGTAAAATGGTACAGCCACTGTGGAAAGATTGTGATGGTTCCTCAAAATCCCAGATGTAGAAATTATCATATGAACCAGCAATTCCTCACCTCGGTATGTATATACTCAAAGACATTGAAAACAGGTATCCAAATACACACATTTGTAGGAGCACTGGTCACCACAGCCTAAAGGTGGAACTAACCTGAATGGCCTTTGCTGATGAGTGGATAACAAAACATGATCTCCCCATACAACGGATTATCAATCAGCCATAAAAGGGAATGAAGTATTGATACACCTACAATGTCCATGAACCTTGAAAACGCTGTGCCGAGGAAAAAACATACTGTGATTCCATTTATATGAAATACCCAAAATAGGTAAACCCAGAGATAGCAAACAGGTTGGGGGTTGCCAGGGGCTGGGGTGGAGGGACGGAATGGGAGTAACTTCATGGTGGGTTATGGGATTTCCTTTGGGGTGATGAAAATGTTTTTAGTATTTGCACAGCATTGAGAGTATACTAAATGCCACTGAATTGTTCGCTTTCAAATGTACTTTTCATGTTACGTGAATTTCACCCCAATAAAAAAAAATGGGGCAGTGGGAGGTGCCAAGGATCAAGGAGCCAGCAGGGTTATCCAGCACGACCCAGGAAACAGACCCTCTGTGAGACAGGGAGGTCCGTCCCTCCCCACCCCCCCAAACTCCCTTCGCCCCCACCAGGGAGATGTCCCTCCATACTCTCCAGTTCCCTTTGCTCTGACTTCATACTCACGAAGCCACCTTCTGATTATTAACGCACCCTGCTAGGTAGGTGCTCGGTGCTGAAACAAAGTACCTGAGATGCTGGGAATGGCTGCCAGTCAGTAGACAGGTGGACTCCCCTTGACCAAGTATTCCTTTGGCTCTGTGGGGTCTGCATCTCTCTCTCATGAGTCTGCTGCCTGCGATATAGTACCACTCTCAGTCCTGTCGTGGGAATTGTGTCTTTGGTTGGCAAACGTTTAGTAAGAGCCTACTGTGTGCCAGGCGCTGGTTTTAGGCTCTGGGAATTCAGCAGTGAACATGATGGACGCAGTCCCTCATGGAGTTTCCATCCTAGTGACCAAATGACACACGTGAAAAACTCAACAATAGCGATGGGCAAAAAGAAACGCTCAATAAACGGCAGCTGGTACCGTTATCCTTAGTCTGAGCGGTAAGAGGTTTTTGTGATAACTTCTAAGGATTCATTCTTCCTCTTCCCAGCCGTGAAGGCTGCCTCCTCCCTCATATTTGCTACCTGCGGCCTCTTCCCAAGACATGCCCGCCTCCCCTGCTCCCATCCGCCCCTTCCCTTGCCCACCAGTGTCTCCAATCATCAATAGCAATCAAATCCACCCGACATTCCTGTTCCAACTATTTTTTCGTGACCACGTGCTTCACTGTGAATTGACACATGAGAATGAACGCTTTTAAACACGTACACATCCTTCAGGGAGAAAGTATGTTTTGATTGGAATTTGATTTGACTGGGTTCCTGGACGGACGGTTGCTGTGAGGTAACGCGAAGGCTGAGTGGCGGCGGCCTGGGCTGGCACACGCAGGCGTCACCGCCATGCTTTGTTTCTCAATCCAGATGGCATCACCCACCCAGCATCTGCCTAGACTGTGGGCAGGCAGGAATCGCAGCTGACTTTTCTCTCTTGCCTCTGACCAGCCCCAGCCTACTTCACCACTGTGCAAGTTGTAGACAATTGGATAGCTGATTTAGTTTAAACATCCGCAGAGATGGGAGGGATGTTGGGAAGGCAGTAGGAGGGGCTGCCAGGGTCCCATGAGGCACTGCTTCTTGACCTGGGTGCTGGTTGCCTGGACGTGGTCATTTGTGAAGGTTTGTCAGCTTATAGTCTCCAAGATCTGAGCACTTTGCTGCAAGTATATTTTACTTCAAGCAAAAATGTAAAATGAAATTGGTCAAATGTGCTAAGATACTTGTACAAAGAGGTTTTTCTCAATGCTCTTTATGACATTAAAAATAAAGTATCCTGCATCAGACCAGAGGCTCGGTCGGTAAGATAACTTTCAGTATATCTACAAAATAGAATATCACACAATCACTAGACATATTAATAAAGACGTATATTTATTCACTTGGAGGTGTTAAGTAAACAATATAATATGAAATAAGTTAGAAAAGAAAGTATATTCCAAAATATTAGAAGTGATCACCTCTGGGCAGAATATTGGCATTAATAAAATTAGCTAATCTGAGGAGCTTGTTAGGCACAAATTCCTGAACCCCCACACTCAGAGATTCCCATTAGGTCTTCCCCCAAACCCCCAGACACATGCCTACCCAGGTTAACTGTTAGGCACAGCCTGGCTACTACCATTTTGGGGGCCTCGGGCCTCTCCGAGATTCTGATATAAACTATGCATCCTCTCCCCTGAGAAATGGATGGACACACCAAATCTTGGATACATTGGGGGAGAGATGGTCCATGAGTCCAGGGAAGAAGCCCTAATGTGCAATGAGAGGTCAACCTCCTCAGTTTTTTCTGGTTCTTTTTTTTTTTTCCCCATCAGAAGACCCTTTTCTCCCAACTCCCTAATGGGTAAGAGCCTCTGCCAGGCAGCACAGGCCCCTGGGCCACTGCCATGATCAGAGCACACGGCTTTTGTGTTTTTGTTGGGGTTGCTGGTATCTGGAGGGGGTAAGCAGCGGTGGGTGGGCCTCAGTGGTGGCCCCGGGTTCTGCTTGGAGAGCTTGCTTGTGCTGCTGCTCACTGTTCTCTCCCTGCCTCCCACTGGCTTCCCTGCAGGACAGCACTCAGCACTCTGCCTTCTGCACCTCTCTGCTCTGATGCACGGGCGGCAAGCTGCCTGCCCTGAGGGCTGCGCAAGTCCAATGAAGTGCCCCCAGACTTCGATGGCCCCTCTTGTTAACACCAGTAACGGTAGTCCCTCCATTTATCCATGTGCCGATTTGGTTACGCTGATCTGGGCCCCTAGAGTGAGATGGGAACGTTTTATGAGTATAAACGGGAATAGGGTAAAAGCCGTGGCTTATATATGTTTTCAGATGGGCTCTGTGATATTTCATGATCGTGAACTTTAGGAACCTAAGAACAATTACTAACAGATCTGACGATTTCCTCTTTTTGTGTGTACCTCAAAAGTCACGGATGGCTCAGGCAGTGGACGTTTCTATGGCTTCTAAGAGAAAAGAGGCAAGTCCAGAAGTCAGGTCCATTGGGAGAGCAGTCGGTGGTGTGACAATGGCCTCGGCCACCAGGTGGCATCACTGGCCACTCTGGAAGCGCAGCTCACCCCAGGGAGCCAAATCCTTGGAACCAATCCTTTCCCCAGGGGACTCAGGCCCTGAAATCTGAGCTTCTGAGGTGCCACCACAGCCCTCCTCCCTGACGCCCGCATTTGTCCCCAGCTGCGCCCAGAGGAGCAAGCGCCTCGGTGCTAAGTCCCTGACCGCTGCTGCTTTCCATCGCTTCCTCTCCTCTTGGCTGCCGGGTAGGACAGGCCAAGGAAAGATGACAAGTTTTCTTAGACCTGGCATAACAAAAAGAAAACCCAAACACTTTTCCTTTGTTTAATACCTAAGCTTTAAAAAACCAAAACTCCAGAAATCAACAACCCACATAATCCGTCTGAATGTCACTGACAGGCCTGGCCTCAGGTCCCCTCCAGTGCTGTTCTGAAGACATGGCACCTATCTGGCAGCTCTGGGATCCGGAGCCTGGGGACAACCCAGCAGTGGCTGGAAACCATCCTGGCCTTTCCCCAGCACCTGTGACAACCGAGGACCCAATGTTTCAGAAAGGCCATCAGGACCGATTTTAAGACACGGTGGTTGCTCCAGGAGAAAGTTGTCCTTTGAGGCTGGGCGGAGCGTTATTTCTTGTGGAGGAACTTCATTTTATTGCCTAAAAAAGAGAAAAACGAGAACGTTGCACCAGGCAGACAAGGGGGGTTAGGTTGTACCCTTTTCACCCTAGTTGCAGTGTGGACAGCTGTGACCTCCCACACCACCCCCGGGGCCTCACCCCTGTGCCCTCAGGGATGTCCCCAATAAAAAGGGACCTTCCTCAAACGTGGGGAGTTTTGAAAGGAAGACTGTCAGTGCCGGTAGACCCTGCTTCTGAAACGGTGACAGAGGAAGTGCCGCATGTAACGTGTCCCCGGGGGTGAAGCCGAGGAGGAAACTCCCCGCGGCACCGAGGGTAGGAGGGCCCGTCCCGAATGGCCATCGGTCCATCCCGCGTGAGCGACAAGCAGGCCTCTCTGCAGGTCCTCGTGTGTTCTTCACGGCCACAGCTCTCCCTCCCTGGGGCCTGCTCCCCCCTTCCTCTTTTTCGATTTCTTCTTCTTCATCCTCCCTTTTCTGGTAAGAGTCTTTTTACTGATTAAACTGTAGTCCTTATCACTCTTACATTTCCACTTTTCAGGGGGCATTTGGGGGCTGGCCAGACACCCTTACTGCCAGACACCCTTCTCTGGCACCATGCGCCAGGCGTCCTAAGCTCAATTCCCCAGGAGCTTTGGAAGCGTGGGGGATAAGAGTGTAGCGGGGCAGCCCAGGGGCCCAGGAAGGCCGGGAGGGGGGCATTTGTGCCCTTTTTTGTGCTTTGGGGTCAGATTAGAACAGCAGATTAAAATGCCAGGTTAGCCTGCCCAGCAGAGGCTGCAGAGCGCTGCATTATTCAGGACCAGGCTCCAGTGGCGGCAGCTGGCCGAGACCCCATGGGCCAGAGACTGGTGATGGGGACCGGGACCCCTGGGCCTTACCTAGTCCCTTCAGGAACTTGTTGACACCACTGTGTTCTCCACTGGGGAGTGTTTCCAGGTACTCCTGGGCTCGGACCTCGAACAGACCTGTTGACAAGAGAAATCGTAGCCACTTTAGTCCTTCGCTCTGCACTTTAAAACACATCATTTCCTCGCTGCCATAGAAAAGAGAAGTCGTACTTCTGAGACCAGCTGCTCCTATAAACACGCTCTGAATCATAAGGTTTATAAGAGTTTTTATAACCCTTATAATTGCCCAACCTTGTGCAATAACTGTCTTTAGAAAGCTGTAAACCCAGCTCCTACAGGAAATCCTATTTTTATTTAACAAACACCTTCCAAGCATCTACACGGTGCCAGCCATGTGGCTTTAGAGATGAACCAGACCGTCCTGACTCCCAGGAGCTCCTGGCGTTGCCCATGAGAGGGACTCCGTCACGTGGTGGAGCTTCCTGGGAATCTGCTTGCCATCTGTGAGCCCAGGAAGTCTGGGCAGCCATCTCGTAGGTGCCTTCAGCTGTCACCTCGGGGTCTGAGCCTCAGGCACTGTGTCTTCAGCTCTCACTGGTCTTCCATGGACAGCTCCTTCCTCGCGAGCTACTTTGAAGATTTTATGTCTCGACCTCTCTATCAAATAGTGATCTGTAAACAGATATTTATGTGTACCCGGCAGGTCTTCTAGTTAAAAGGATCCTTCCATCGGGTGTTGTGTGACTCGCACTCTCTATCGGTTTTCGTTTGTCTCTTCAGGTACCACTCACCAGAAATGCCTGAGGTGTGGCCAGCCTCTGCTTTGACTTTGCAAAGAGCTCTGGGAATGGTTTGGTGCTCTGTGATCCCAGCGCCAGAGGGCGCCAAGGCCTGGCGCCAGCTGCTCCCTGGGGACCCTCCTTGGTCGCTATGTGGCACTCCTCGTTGGTAAGCGTCTCTCCCCTACTCAGGTCTAACTCCCGTCTGTGACAGCCCTTACCAACATGACTAGTTTTTAGATTCCCAAAAGGGCTTAACATGATGTTAACATGATGATGTAAGAAAGAGTCGGGAACGACTTCATCCTTTTTTCTCACACCTCCCCCTCCTCCATCCTTGGAAGCGGGATGGAACCCAGCAGACAGGCGGAAGGTTGGAGACAAAGGAACTCCAAGGAGAGCGGGGAGGGGAATGGATGACCCACAAGCTCCCAGGTTGAGGAGAGCCGTCGCTGTCCTATCTCCCCTGTGCCTGCCTGCTCACGCAAAGCAGGGGGCACAGGGCCATTCTCTCTTCCTCTGTCTCATCCCAGCCGGCTCCTGCCTGCTAGTCCCACCACAGTAGAGAGAAGCAGGACGGGACGGCAGAAGGGATGAGAGGGGTCCTGAGGAACAGAAGAAGGGCCACAGCGAGGAAGGAGAGGGCGTCCACGAGTCTCATCAAGTGGGAAAGAATGGCACAAAAGGAGAGCTTGCCAGCGGAGTCTGGAGTGTGCTTCTGGGATAGGCTGGCAGAGGGGAAAGAGACGGCCTGAGCAGACAGGTGTCAGGGGCGGTTTTCAGCAGCTCAGAGGTACAAGAATGAATGTTTTCCAGAGGTGGACGCCCGGCTGCCCCTGCCTGTGCCCGTCCTGTGACTGTTGTCCCTGGTCATCAGCCACTGGGGTCTGGGCACCTGTAGGTCTCTCAGCCCCCACATGGAAGGCGCCCCCTAACCTTTGGCATCCTGCCGGCGCAGCTCCCGCTCCTGGATGAAGCCCCGAAACATCTGGGTCTCCATGAAAACCTCCAGGAAGCGGCGGAGGCTCTTGGAGGAGACGGCTTTGCGAAAGGCCTCTCGCTGCAGGGTCCTCTCCTCGCGCTCGCCTGCCGTCAGGAACAAGGAGTAGTGGCCCACGATCTCCACGAAGAAGCGGACAAAGGCTTCAGACACCACCTCGTTCAAGGGGCTGGACTCGGGGCCTGAGCAAGGGGGGCCGGGAGGATGGGTGAGGGCAGAGCCTCTGAGACAAGTGGATTAGTCATACAAGTAAGTGCTAGCTCTCTAGGTGGTAAGTTGTAATGATCCACACAAAGGTGACACAACGTTATTAAATCATTTCTCCTCACCCCCACCCCTTTATATAGATATTTTAGGGCCAAAATGGGGGAGGTGGGAAAAATTTTTCCCCGAGTTCACTATTAAAATGAGATCAAGATAAATGGCCTCCCTTGCCCGCCTTCCTACTTAACCCAACGTCAAGTGGAATGGGTGGCCATTGTCCCCTGGCTGCCTGACTCTAACCACAGAAGAGGGAGACGCAGTCTGGGAGGGGGCTGAGCACTCACTATGCTTGCAGTCGGGGGGCCCTTCATCCTGGTCACTGGCCAGGTCATTCCTCTGCTCCAGGATGTGTTCCAGGGCTACTTGAAGCTTCCGGGGCAGAATGGAATCCTCATCATCCATCTGCAAAGCAGAACAAACAGGCAGGCCGTTGCGCTGGTGCTTCTGGCCAGCAGGACACCCTGGACACAGGGCAGGCCTGGCACAATTCTCAGGTTAATGGGACGAGCACGACTTAAGAGTCAGAGGTCTGAGGTGTGACTGTTTGTTCCAATCTTTATGAGTTGTGTGAGCCTCAGTTTCCCCTTTTGTAAAATGGGTTTCTAATCAATATTTACCTCACTGTGAAGACTACATGCAATACACAAGACAGTGATGAAAGAAACTGAAGACACAAATAAATAAAAAGACATCCCAGGGGTGGCCAGTTGGCTCAGCTGGTTAGAGCGCAGTGCTCACAACATCAAGGTTGCTGGTTCGATCCCCAAATGGGCCACTGAGATGAGCCCTCCACAACTAGACTGAAACAACTACTTGACTGGGAGCTGATGGGTCCTGGAAAAACACACTGTTTCCCAATTAAAACAAAAAAACAAAAAAAACAAGACCTCCTGTGTTCATGGATTGGAAGAATTAATACTGTTAAAATGTCCATAGCCCCTAAAGTGAGCTACAGAGTCAACCCAATCCCTATCAAAATTCCAATGGCCTTTTTCACAGAAATAGAAAAAACCAATCCAAAAATTCATATGGAACTAACAAAAGACCCTGAATAGCCAAAGCAATCCCGAGAAAGAAGAACAAAGTTGGAAGCATCACGATTGCTGATTGAAACTTAATTACAAACCTATAGTATTCAAAACAGTATGTTATTGGCAGAAAAACGGACATATAAATCAATGAAACAGGATTTATTCAGAAGTAAATCCACACATATATGGTCAACTAATAGTTCATAAGGGAGCCAAGAATATTCAATGGGGAAAACGTAGTTTCTTTAATAACTGGACCCCTATCGTACACTACTCACAAAAATTAACTTGAAATGGATGAAGGCTTAAATGTAAGACCAGAAGCCGTAAAACTGCTAGACAAAAGCATAGGGAAAAAGCTCTTTGACATTGGTTTTGGCAATGATTTTTTTTGATATGATGCCAAAAGCTCAAGTATCAGAAGCAAAAATAAACAAGTGGGACTACGTCAAACTAAAAAGCTCTGCACAATCAGCAAAAGAAACAATCAGCAAAATGAAAAGGCAACCTATGGAATGAGAGAAAATACTTGCAAACCATCTATCTAATAAGGGGTTAATAACCATATTATATATGGAACTCAATAGCAAAACAACAACAATAGCAACAACAACAAAAGAACCCCAATCTGATTAAAAACTGGGCAAAGGACTGGAATAGACATTTTCCCAAAGACATCCAAGTGGCCAACAGGTACATGAAAAGATGCTCAATATCACTAATCATCAGGAAAATGCAAATCAAAATCACAACGACATATCATTTGTCACCTGTTAAAATGGCTATTATCAAAAAGACAAGAGATAACAAGTGTTGGTGAGGATGTGGAGAAAAGGGAACCCTTGGGCACTGTTGGTGGGATTGTAAATTGGTGCAGCCAAGAAAACAGTATGGACGTTCCTCAAAAAATTAAAAATTGAACTACAAAACCTTTCTGTAATGATACTTTACAAGGTCTGATAGGAGTTAGGTCTCTCTGGACAATGACAGTAAGAAAACAATTGTGTATTACTTTTCCAAATATTGAAAGTAGTTTATGAACATTATAGAAAATACATGAACATATTAAAATAATTTAAAATCACTCATAACCTGTCTCCCTTTCAGTCTCCCACCCCAAGACACCAACATGAATGTTTTGGTGAGTTTTTCCTTTCGATCTTTTTTTTTGAGGCATAATATATATATGTGTATTCTTTTTTTTTCCTCCTCTTTTTCTCTCCTTTAAAAAAAAAAACAAGATCAGGGCTGGCCGAGTGGCGCGTTGGTTAGGAGTTGGCTTGGGGCACCAGCTCTGAGCAGCAGGGCCCCGGTTAGGATCCCACATGAGGGACAGTGACGCTGTGCCCTCTACAGCTAAGATGGTGAACAACAGCTCGACCTGGAGCTGGGATGCCATGAGTCACCGGTGACGGCATAGGCTGCAGTGGAGTTGCAGTGAGCTGCTGTAAGCTACCATGAGTGACTGGCAGCTGGCATGAGCAGCCGGCAGCCGGTGTGAGCTACCAAGAGCTGCCGTGAGTGGCTGTCCAATGGCTGGCGAGCGACTGCCTCAGCCGGGAAAAGCACAATAATAATACCAACATGGGCCAGTGAAGCGACGTCTTCCACAACTAGACTGAAGAACAAAAGGACAGCAACTTGTCTGCTCCCCTTCCCTGGTTCCCCAATAAAATCTTAAAATAAAATAAAATAAAATAAAAGCATGTTGAAAAAGGCAAGCGTCTATAGTTGTAACCTATCCAAAGATTCTAATTGTTAGAAAACCATTTTGTGACAGGACATGCGGGGAGCGATCCTTTGCCAAACCCGGCTTCTTTGGCCCCAGCCTTCTGCCTTCTTCAGACCAGCCCTGGCCTGGGACGGGCCAACCCTGTCAGCCTGTTCGGCAGTCCCAGGCTCACCGAGGGGCCTTTCCTGAGCCGGGACGCCGAGCCCCACACTCCAGAGGTGAAAGCGGAGAGAGCAGCGGGTTGGGGCCGCCTTCTCACTCACCTGTCTGAGGAACCGACTGTTGACCAGGTCGACCACCAGGACCTGCAAGAAGAGGAAAACGGGCTGTTACTGTCACCAGGGTTTCCAGGACATAGTGACAGGCTCTTTGCCGCCTTCTTTCTTGGCACCCAGAGAGGCAGCTGGGGTGGGGGTGGAGTGGGCCATTTGTGGTTTCCTGATGTTGCCACTGTAGCCACAGCTGATGAAATGGGGAGGTGGGGGGCGAGGGCTTTCCTGAATTGCATGCTTTCAACACTGAAACCGCAGGCTGGAACAGAAGCGTGCCACAGGCTGGACTCCGTGCCCTGTCCCCAGACGGGCTGACGCAGAGCCTCTCAGACTGGGTTTTCAGAGCATGGGTTACTGAGGTGGGCGAAAGAGGCGAGAGGCCTTCCTTGTTCCTGTTGCACTTGACTCTGCCGCTCCCTCCCAGATACCCACTTGTCATGTCTCTTAATGGGACAGGAAGGGAGAAACCCAGAGGAGTGGATCCAACTGGAGAGTAAATCCCACTGCAGGTGCTAGGCTTCCATTAGTCAAGACTTTGGGGACCAAACACCTTCCCTGTCCCTCCTCAGAGCGGAGCTGAGACCCAGGGCGAGAACCAGGCTGAGGCAAGTGAGGTGCCTAGGGTGCAAAACTTAAAGGGGCGCTCACTCGCAGGGCAGCGCTTTTGCCTGCAGGACCCTGAGGGGGAGACCCTCACTCAGGCCTCAGTGTAGGGAGAGCAGGGGCCCTGGAAGGCCACCATGCTTCCACCAAGAGCTGGAACGGTGGACTCTGACACGCCGCAGAGAGCCTGCCTGGAAGCTGAGGGCACTGGCTCCCTCCCCCTCACACACACTCTGAGTGAACTGAGCCATTTTAGGGACCCCAGGGTAACCAGACGAGCTCCTTGCAATTCCCAAACCCGCACCTGAAGACCTGGGGGACTTTAGGACTATCTGGGCAGTTAGAGGCCCCGCATCTGGGGACCCAGGTTAATTTCAGGGCCAGGTGTTCTCCCAGGGGATCAGGAGCGAGTGGCGTCCTTTAGTCCCTACGGTTCCCTCTGTGACTGCTGGAAGTGCTCAGTGCCTGGGGCCAGACTATTTAGAAGAAGGGGCTAGGGCTAAATAACCCCAGAAACACCAGGTATGGCTTTTCCCACTTGGAGGTAAACCTGAAAACCCAGAACCTGACCATTGAAACCATTTCGGTTGTTGCCTTTTTAACTGATACGAAAAAGGACCTATCTGTAGGAGCACAGTCATTGTGAACTTTATCAGTCCAAACAAAAACTCCAATCATCATGAGCTTTCATGTGCTTTCTGCCCTGTGTT